ATTGTTGTTTGGCGGGTCCGGGCTGGGGATTCGAACCCGTCACCTTAGGTGTACGTGGCTGGCGCCTTAGCCGGTTGAGCTATAGGTGCCAAGCCGAACCTTTTTTTTTTTTGAGACAGGGTCTCACTCTGTCACTCTAGCTAGAGGGCAGTGGTGTCATCACAGCTCACTGCATCCTCAGACTCCTGGGCTCAAGCAATGTTCCTACCTCAGCCTCCGGAGTAGCTGGGACTACAGGTGCCAGCCACCATCCCTGGCTAATTTTTCTATTTTTAGTACAGACGGGTTCTTGCTGTTGCTTAGGCTGGTGTCAAACTCCTGAGCTCAAGTGATCCTCCTGCTTCGGCCTCTCAGAGTGCTGGGATTACAAGTCTGAGCCACTGCGCCCAGCCTCAAACCTGAGTTCTAATTCTAGCTCCGCCAGTGCGGGGCTTTGAGAACCACAGAAAGTCACTGCCACTCTCTTCCTGGAGCTAGCTGTTTCATCAGGGAAAATGGGGAGGGGGGATCCCAAATGACTGCCTCAGGCTTCCAGCCCTAACTTTCTAAGAATCTATGATTCTCATCCTCTCCCATCCTGGAGATAAAACGGGGATAAAAACCGTGGGCTTAAAGGGGGGTGGCAGGATTCAGTCATCCTCTCCTGCTGAGTGACTCTGGATCACTGCCAAGAATGCATCTGGACTGGAGAGAAATGGCCTCAGGCCACCTGGACAAATTTTCTGGTCATTTCTGGAGTTGAAATGACAGTAGTACTGGCCTGGGATGGGGATCTGTTTCAGGAGCCCTGAGAGGAAAGGTGTAGACCTCCAGGCCAGCTCCTAGAGGTGGACCTTCGTCCCACCTCTGCGACCTAGGTCTTCTACCTGCCCAAGGGTGGAGAGGAGACCAGGTAACTGACCTCCGGGGGAAAGTGTGTCTGGGAGAGAAGGCCCCTCCAAGCCCCAGTCTACGTGAGGATCCAGATCTCCACGAGTGGGAATGAGGCCCAAGTTGCTGCCTTCCCAGCCCTACGAGTGTTGAGTCAAAGCTCTGGTGCTATGCAAAGGTCACGTGACACAGAGCTGCTATCTCAGAGTGAAACAATTGGGTTACTCACTGTTTTGGGAACAATCTGTTTCTTGGGCTGCGTAATCTTAAAAGGGATCCTGTAAGAGAAAGAGACAAAGAAAAATATTGTGAGAAATGGGGAAGGATGTGGGCGAAAGAGTCAATGCGATATAGGCCACTGTCCTCCAGGAGGGTGAGGAAGGGCAGCAGTGGCCAGCTGCCTGGACCTGGGCCCCCTGCCCTGGCCGACGTAGCAACGTCAGCATCCCAGCTTGGTTCTGAGAGAACCAGAACCTCCCATCAACTATACCAGGTGCAGGTTCTTGGGCATCACCTTCTGCCCAGAGCATCTTCCCTAACGGACCATCCTTTATTTCTTATTGTTATTTCTTGAGACAGAGTCTCACTTTGTCACTCGTGGTAGAGTGCTGTAGTGTCACAGCTCACAGCAACCTTAGGCTCAAGTGATTCTCTTGCCTCAGCCTCCCAAGTAGCTGGGAGTAGAGGCGCCTACCATAATGCCGGCTATTTTTAGAGATGGGGTCTTGCTTTGGCTTAGACTGGTCTCGAACTCATGAGCTCAGGCAATCTGCCTGCCTCGGTCTCCCAGAGTGGCTAGGATTATAGGCATGAGCCACCATGCCCGGATACACTGTCCTTTAAATATTAAAAAGGCAAGGGCAGGAAGAGGGGACACTCTGCAAATAATCACTATAAACCTTGTGTATTGAGGAGGTGGAAAGTCAGAAGTCAGACTCACAGTAATAGCTATCATCCCTGAAGACACACCTGCATAAAAACACCACCAAAATCACTTCTGGTCTATACGAGGGGCCCCACTGCTTCCCTACACAAAGGGAAGGGGTGCACTGGATCGCGATGTTTCTTGGGAGGACAGAGGATGGAGAGAGATGAGAAATTACAGGGACATTAATGACTGGCCAGGCTGGGCTATTTCCCTGGGAAAACTGACAAAATCTAAATGCAGCTGACTTGGAGAAGAATCTGAAATCCAGCCCAAGTCTGCCTTGAATGTGCTCTGAAGCTCTGTACCTCAGACTTCCCACTTTGAAAGAGAAGACAGCTTGGGGTAATAGAAAGATGACCACGGGTCTAGGAGTCCAAACTTGAGCCCTAGCATAGCTCCACCTGCAATGAGCAGGCTGCCCTTGGACACACGACGACTACACTGAGCCTTCATTTCCTGCTCTGTAAAGTGGGTGGATTAAAGCAGATAATTTAGAAGCTTCCTTATGGCACTGAATATTCTCTGTGAAGAACTGTGGCCAGGCTAGAAAGCCACAGAGCATATCCCAAGAGATGCAGAAAGGGGAGGCTCCCCAAGTCCAAGCAACAAGAGGCTTAAGAACCCCTGGGATCAGCTGGGAAAGACGCTGCTCCCTCAGCTGTTCCCACATCTCCTTGCCTTTTGGCTCTTAGGAATGGGCAGAGGCTCTTCAATTCAAACCTCCCGCTTCCAATCCACTCCACTGAGCCTGAGTCCCACCCTTCCCTCCATGCTCCCCCTTTCCAAACCTGCTTTCTTTTGGCCCAAAGTGACCAGATACTGTTGCTAAACCCAACAGTATAATTAACCACCGATAATAGCCCCAGACAAGGATCTAGTTGAGGGGATGGGCCAGCCTGAGTCACAGTGGTTTAAATTTAATTTCTGGAGGACATCCTGTTTATTGTTAACTCAGTCCCGTAGTTTGGGAATGTTAACCCTTTGGGGACTGGCTGAGGCAAACAATCTCTGGCTAAACAGTGGCTAGAGGGGAATTAGGTAAGGTATGGAACTGGAAAGGAAAGAAAAAATGAAATTGCGATTTCTCCTTCTCAGACCTACAGGGAAAGGTTCAAGGGGGAATGAGTTGTCTCCCCAAGGCCCGGGTTACTTTGCCTACAATCAGGGATTGGAACTGACAGGCAAAATGGTTTTGGACAGTGAACAATTGCCCTCAAGGACCACTTTGGAGACAGTACAAATGAGGTCCTGGTGGCATTGCAAAAATACTGCTCGTGCTCTGTGGGAAGCAGGCTGGAGTCTGCAAAGCTCCAGACCAGATCTCAGAAAACCTGTGTCTGTCTCTGACTAGTTCTGTGACTTGAATCACAATCTCTGGAGCCTTAAACTAGGAAACAAAGGAGGTGGACGGCATGGTCCCTTCTGCTTGGGTAACACTGGAATTCTAAACTGAATCCCCATTCTAAAAAGATGGGAAGTAGGATGAGAATTCTAAAGAATTCTGAGTGGTCTTCAAAATGATTCTTGGCGTCTAGTACTACAATCTAGGGACCAAGAAATTAGGAACTCAGATTCCATTATCTGTGGTGCCACAGCCTTTCTCTAAATCTTAATTTAGAATCACAGTATTTTTAGAACTGTAAGTTACCATAGAAATTTTTTTCCAGTTCAACCCTCTCATTTTGTAGAGGAGAAAGCAGATCCAGGGAGGGTCAGTGACTAGCCCAGGGTCACTCTGCTGGTTCACAAGAGAACCAGGAACAAAGAGTCTGAACTCTCAGCTTCTGGCCCAGTTTTGTCCTCTAGGACTCACAGTTCAGTACTCTTTTCACATGGACTTGGTATGTGTATTTGACCTTCACTGATTCTAGGGCTGGAGCAGGAAGTGGACAAGACCAGCCTGGAGTATCTTATAATAGTGTGTCATCCTACTGTACCAGAATGAGAATGGCCCCATCACTCTTTAAAGGACTGGGAACAATAGGGGACTGCACATGTGCCGAGCTGGTCACCTGTGAGAGGTTACGTGTGCTATGCGGACTGAACCAGCCGCCGAGTTTCCACCACAGCGGCAGCTGATCACATACAACTTTACCATACTGTTCTGACAATTTTGATTTTCCACTGCTGTGCTGTGCACACATCTGTGCTATGAATTTTTTTTTTTTTTTTTTACAGACAGTCTCACTTTATCACCCTTGGTAGAGTGTTGGGGCGTCACAGCTCACAGCAGCCTCCAGATCTTGGGCTTAGGTGAATCTCTTGTCTCAGCCTCCCAAATAGCTGGGACTATAGGTGCCTGCCACAGTGCCCAGCTATTTTTTGTTGCAGTTTGGCCGGGGCTGGGTTTGAACCCCCCACCCTCGGTATATGGGGCCGGCGCCCTACTCACTGAGCCACAGATGCCACCCGGTGCTGTGAAAATTTTTAAAGATGAATTATTTAGTTCAAAGCACAGCAAGTATATTCTTTTTCTAACTTTTTTGTTTTTGATCAACAGAATTTAAGTGTGCTGCAAAAGTTTAACTACAGGTTAAAGTGTGCCTTGAGATAAAAAAGGTTGAAAAATGCTGTGATAAAAGAACACATTTTTGAAAATATGCTTTTTGGTTGGGTGTGGTGGCTCATGTCCATGATCCCAGCACTCTGGGAGGCCAAGGTGAGGCCTCCTTGAGCTCAGGAGCTCAGGACTAGCCTGAGCAAGACTGAGACCCCATTTTCACTAAAATTAGAAAAATGAGCCAGGCATTGTGGAGGGCACCTATAGTCCCAGCTACTCAGGAGGCTGAGGCAGGAAGACTGCTTGAGCCCAGGAGTGTGAGGTTGCTGTGAGCTAGGCTGATGCCCCGGCACTCTAGCCTGGGCAACAGAGTGAGACTCTGTCTCAAAAAATAGATAGATAGATAAATAAGCTTTTTATTTCAGGTTTATAGCAAAATTGTGAAGGAAGTATCTAATTTCCATGTCCCCGCACTCAGTTTGTATCAGTACGTACGGTGCCTTTGATATCAGCCTGGTGTATTTGTCACAATTGCCCAATGTTGATCTTTTCGTGACTATATTCAGATGTCCTTTTTTTCAGCCCCAGGACCCCTCCCCCGCAGTTACAGTTGATTATTATATCCCCTGAGGCTCCTCTGGGCTGTGATAGTTTCTCAAACTCTCCCTGTTTTTGGTGACCTTGACAATTTCAAGGAGTGCTGGTCAGGTATTTTATCGAATGTGCCCCAACTGGGATTTGCCTGTTTTTTTCCCTGATCAGATGGAGTTAAGGGTTTTGGGGAGGAAGACTACAGAGCCAAAGAGCTCTCATCAACACATCAGGAGAAGGGTCCAGGAAATCGACGTGGCTCTTTCCTATTGACGTGGACCCTGACCACAGGCTGAAGCTGTCTTTCCCAGCTTTCTTCTGTGCTCTTTGGGAGAAAGCCACTCCGTAAAGCCCTGTTAATTTATCAGCATAGATATTAACCTTACACTTTGGGTTACAATCTACTACTATTTTATTTAGATGCTCAAACCGTTCTAGCTTTGCACACTGGTAGGTCTTTTGGTTGGCGCCTACATCCTTTTGATGTGCCCCATCAGTGTGTGTGTTCTCTTAGGGATCTCCTAGTGTGTGTGTTCTGTTAGGGACCTCCTAACTTTCTGTCACTACCAGATGCTCCAGGCTCATCTTGTACACCTTCTGTCCCAGCCCCAGAATCAGTGGAGGAACTCAGCATTCAACAAGCCTCTATGACATGGTCCCAACCTTCCTTTTGATCTTCTTTCCCATTCACCCAATACAACTACGCGGATTCAGCCAACTGGCTGTTAATCCCCCAAATCTAGACTCCTTATTTCCTGTCCCAAAGTAGGATGTTTTTGAGGACATGCCATCAGGACAACTTGGATTGCCCAAGACAGCTAGGCCCTGAGACCACTCCACCAATATGGAATGCCTTCTTTCTTTCTTGCCTAAGCAAAGATGGTCTCAGGTCTAAAACCCTGCTTGTCTGAGACTTATTTAAAAATATTTTACCCGTTACAGTTAATTACAGTTTATAATACCCTTCCAAAGCAAAATAGGCTCATCAGAAAAAAAAGTTTTAAAAAAATTATAAAAGTAAAAACACGCTATCAGAGAAAAACTAAGAAATGTAGAAAATAAGAAAGAGAGGGAGAAAGGGAGGGTGGAAAGGACGGGAAAACTCCCTCCTCTAGCCATCGTCTCCTATCTAAAAGATGACCAGGGTTAATGTTCTGGTGTTGTTAATTATATTTGGAAACTTTGCAGGAAGACAAACACCTGAAGCAAATGTTAGTAGTGGTTAATTCTGGGTGGTGAGAATATGATTGCTGGTTTCT